TATGGTATATAGGTCTTAGAACTCAACCCAAAGAGGTTGAGAGCCAACCCAAAGGTCTAGCCAAAATCGAGCCGAGCGTCCATTCCCTATAACGAACTTTGCCCCCATGGCAAAAGCTGGCTTGATAGCCTATACATCGTTCCAGAAAGGAGAATCCCGCTGCACCCCTTCGAAAAAAATCCCGTTTGGAAAATATTTCGCCCGTAGAAGATCCACCCACAGGCCCCGTGGCCCCTTGGGATATTTTCCAGATCCATTTGCTCATGAGGGCAACGTTGAAGATCTGGGTATTGGTGATCCTGAGGCCCTCCAAGGCCTTGGTTACACACCATTGCCCATTTGACCATGTGGTATTTACGATTCGGGCCTGTTCCTTCCCAGAAAAATCTTGATCGGGGCGCGTCCATCTTGGCATGCACTCCTTCCGCAAGCAAGAAGAGGCCCATCGCAAACTTGGGGAGGGAGGAGAGGCTCGAGTTCTTGAGAACTAGACGAGCAGCTTTCGAGAGAAACTTCCCCCTCCAGGGGGAAACTCTACCCCCTACCTTGGCACAAAGAAGCTCCTAATCCTCTATTGTAAGTCGCTTGGTAGCAACTGTAAGTCCAAGGTATGTGAACGGAAACTTCCCTACTTTGCAATGAAGCAGGTCCGCGATGCGGCTGCCCTCCTCCGGCTCTACCCCCATGGAGGGAACTTCGCATTTATGGAAGTTGATCTTGAGCCCAGACATGAGCTCAAAACTAAGGAGGAGCGCATTGACCATAGCGATGCTGTGCTGGTCTGACTAAAAAAGCAGCAGGGTATCATTGGCGTACTGCAAGTGAGATACTCCCATTGGAATGAGGTGACCCACCACAACTTTTATGTGGCCATCCATTGTAGCTTTCTGAAGCATAGCTGACAGCGCATCCACCACAAAATTAAACAGAAGCGTGGACATCGGGTCACCCTGCCGTAGCCCGATCTATTCCGGAAGAAGTGCCATACTTCTCCGTTAACCGAGATTGCGGTCTAGCCTCCCAAGACCAACTGCATCACCCGGTGAACCCAAACGGCCGAAAAAACACGACTAATAAGGACTTGACGCAGGAAATCCCAATTTACCCGGTCGTACGCCTTTTCGAAGTCTAGCTTTAAGAGAATAGCCGGTTCTTTCGTGCGTTTGAGCTCATGAATAATTTCGTGGAGGGCAAGCGGGCCTTCAAGAATGTTTTGGCCTCGAATGAAAGCGGATTGATTTCGGTTAATCATGCGATGAGCAATCAGGACTAAACGCGTCGTGCACGCCTTAGCGCAAATCTTAAAAGGGACATTAATAAGCACAATTGGTCGGAACTGCCGAATATTGTCAGCACGAAAACCTTAGGAATGAGCGAGAGAACACCAAAATTAAGGCGGGCGATGTCAACCGTCCCACACATGAACCCATTGCATATATCAAAGATCGGGCCTCTAAGGAGTGGCCATAAATGTTTGAACATAGCCACCGGCCACCCATCTGGGCCGGGCGCCGTTTTCGTTTTCATACCCATCAGAGCATCGGTTCTTTCGCCGTCCTTGTTCTGTTTCCTTCACACGGCATATCCTATGTTTGCCAAGTGTGCTATCTTTGCCAACAGGTGTTCTGTAAATAGGTTGTGTCACTGCTGTGTTATGGGCCATTTGGGCTATGCGAAAAATGCATGCTTTCAACGTGCTAAACTGAATGACCCTTTTTCAGCTGTGAAGCTGATTCGATATGGATATTGTTTTTTGGTTGCTTTTGTAGGGAAAGAAGTCTGGCTGAAGCATAGGTCACGTGGTTCGAACCCGTAGGACCATTTCTAGCTAGGATGTGAGATATTTCATCCTCAATACCTGCGCTCTAAGGTCTGGGATTACCCGTTTATTAGAAGAGAAGCCAAAATCTTAATGAAAATGAATCACGTTTATGACCATAACATAATGCATCGGGAGCCCCTCTGGCCCTCTCCTATATAAGCTCTTAATGGTGGTTCTGTTTTCCCTCACAAGTATGCAATCTTTCTGATGCAGTAGAGATACCATGGAAGTTCAGAAACTACCTTGTGCTGAGCGTCTTCTAGGTGGTCAGTTGTCTCCATTGTCTCCTCAGGGTTTGAAGGTCCAATCTCTGCTTGTCTGCTTATGCTGCTGAGTCGAAGTAGCTTGACGTAACATTTACAGATCCATTCAACCTAAAGGATACAGATACATCCTTCATCCTTGCATCTTTCACGAGACAAACTCACCATATTCTTGAAGACCCTTTCGGGAACATTGCTCCAGAAGAACCAAAACTGGGACCTGAAACGAGATGCGTAGAAGAGGACTGGCAAGCTGTAGAAGCGCACGTAGAAATTTCTGGCACATAATGCACGTGAGAGAAACTGATCGATGCTGATTTATTATTCAGCTCTTTTCAGCTGAGTTGCCGGCTGTGCGTTTACTTACTCATATTGAACCACTTTGTCCCTGAGCAGTGGAGCAGCAAAAGGAGAAAGAGCCACTCAAGGAAGGAAGCGACGCAGCTCAAACACTAGGAATTTAATTCGGAGGTACCTAGTCCCCTGACTTGATCATGCTTACTTACTTTGACACGAAAACACAAGGAAAGTACTCGACATACGCCGGCGGCATATTAAAGCAAATCAAACAGCTGTGTAGCACTTAAAAAAAAACTTTTCAAAAACCAGCTGTGTAGCATATCTATGAAGTAGCATGCATGCAGCAACTTGCTGGCCTGAGAAGAACTAACAAAGCTTTAGAGCATCTCCAGCCGTTCGACCCACAGGACACCGAAAAAGAGTTGCCAGGGGCGAACCGGCGCTAGATTGGCCCCTGGGATTCGGTTCGCTCCTAGTCATAGGCCCACGGTCGCCGTGGGTTTGGCGAAGTTCATTTCAAAATTTTGCAAACTCGACGATTTTTGCAGGAACTCGGCCATACTTCATTGAAATTTGTACAAAAACGTAAAACATGCAAAAACTACGTCTAACTTAAAAAACAAACTAAAAAGCCTAGCCGCCGCCGCCGCCGTCTACATGCCGAGAAGCCTGTAGAAGCAGGTGTAGTCGCCGCCGTCGCCGTCGTCGTCGTCGTCGTCGCGCACCTCGCCTGCGACATCCATGCTACTGCCCTGGCCGGGGTCGCCGACACGTGGTGGGACGCTTGACGGCCCGGCCTCGCCCTCCTTGTCGCTGTCGATGACAATAACACCGTCCTCCTCGGCGCGACGACGGGCCTGGTGCTCCAGGTACGCCCGACGCTGGCGGCGCACCTGCTCGCGGACGTAGTCCTCCTTCGCACATTTGAGGGCGGACTCGTCGTCGGGGGCCACCATGTCGACATGCTCCGACTTCACGGGGAGCAAGCCCAGCTCGGGCTTCGGCCGGACCAGGCGTAGGGAGCGCCTCGCCGGTGCCGTCGGAGGCGGTGAGGGCTCGTTGATGACGAGGGCGCCGCTGCAAGCGCGAGCCCGAGCGTTGTCCCCTCCAGCTCGGGCCTGACTGGGTGGAGGGCCGGCGAGCCGGAGCCCGACGACGAGGGCGACCCCGGATCCATTCGCCGCGGCATCCAGGAACTGCCGCGGCGGCGAGAGAAGGACGACCGCGTCGGGTACTCCAGCCGTGGCACGTTGCCGGTCTCGATGTGGTCGAGGACGGCCTCGAGGGTGCGGCCGGGGACGGCCCACCACTCGCGCCGTCCTTCGGCGTTGAGGCGGCCGCGGGGAATGACGCTGTTGACGGAGGCGATCTACTCCTCGCGGCGGCGGCGCTGGAAGTACATCGTCCACAGAGTTTCGCTGTCGGGCGCGTACCTCGGCTGGTTCCGCTGCTCCTCAGTCAGGGAGGAGCGGATGTGGGCGATCTCTGCCCGCCGTGCCGCCCCTTCGGGTACCGGCGGCACCGGGACGCCGCCGGTGCTCACCCTCCACGCTCCCGACACGTGCATGTCAGAGGGTGCTGGGTACTCGGCCTCGTAGAGGAGGCGCGCCTCCCGCTCTTGGAGGTGTCGGCGGCCGAAGCCGTTCACCACTGCGCCATCCCCTGGGAACCTCTCGGCCATGTTTGCTTTGCTCATCGGCGGGGAGAAGGCTTTCGCGAGAGGGAGAGGGGGAGGCTGTGCCGCTCACCGGCGGGGAGTGGGTGCCTTTTATAGCCGAAGCGGGGCGGCGGGGAGGCGGCATGCGGGAGGACGCGTGGCGGGAGCGGGCGGGGCGCGTGTCGGCGGCGTCTTCACTGCGCCGCCCGTGAGGCATCAATAGAGGCTCACCGGCGCGGCAGCCTTGGCATTGATTCCCGCGGGAACAGACACGATAAGGGCGACGAAGCGGCGTCTCGCTGACTCGGGGGGCCCGCGGCTCTTTCGCGCCAAAACCGCTCGCCCCGGCGCCCCCAGCGTGCCGGGTTCGGCCTGGATCCGTCGGTGCTGATTTCGGCCCAAGCCGGCGAAAAACGGGCTCCTGGGGACGCGATTGTGCCGTTTTCTCGGCGCCGGCGCGAAAAAACGGCCTGGGGAGGCCGTGTTGGGGGCGCGGCTGGAGATGCTCTTAATGTGAGGTCAGCGACAATTACTAGATAGTTAGTATCTTCGTCAATCTATTTATTGAAGCAATGGCTCACCTCTAACATTCACAAAATCAAATTTAATCAACCTTTTGGGACGGAAGAAAAATGTAGGCAACCTCGTCTAAACATGCTTAATGTGGTAACTCCGCTCAGCAGTCCCTCAGGGGCAGGGTGGTTCAATACATGTAAGTAAATACAGAGTAACATTGTATAGGATAGCAGATTAATTAACCACATATTTGAACTGAAAAATACCATGAATCACAATGAAGATGAGCAGAGATCTAACCATGGGAGACTGTACAAAACAACATGCATGTATATATAACCATTAATTAAGATTACAAAAAAAGTCGACACAAACCAAAAAAGTAAAGACTGGATCGAGCTAATCATAAGTAGAAAACGAAAGAAACGAACATGCAAGCTCCTCAAACAAGCGTCACAGTAGGTTTCCCTGGATGGCTGCGAAGCTGAGACACAAGGCTGCTGCCGATTGCTTCATCATCGGTACCAGTAAGCAAGATTTCCTTGAGCTCAGATAGGAAGTCCAGGCCCTCTAGTTCATAGGACGCCTCGGAGCAGTCAAACTTAAGCTTCTTAAGACCTTTCATCGAACTTGATCCAAAGATTACATGTAAGCCGCTCGAGCTGCCAGAAATTTCGAGGATCTTTACCTTTTCGTAGGTGGCCAACTGCTGTCCGTGCATTTCAGCATAAAACTTGAGGCTGTGCTGCTTCACACTAAGTCGCAGAATACATAGTTTTGGCAACATCCCAAGGTGCTCTATGTCACTTTGCGGCAAAGCAGCCATCGCCAGATCCAATTTTGTGAGCTTCCTAAGGACATTGTTGGATGATAGAGCGACAGGAAGCCTGTCTCCAAGCCCATACAGTTTAAGGCTCCGGAGGTTCCCCAGAGGCTGGTCGATACCATCCAAGCAGCCTTCATGGTCGTTGTCCAGCCTCACTGACAAGGATTCGAGATGTACATGATCAGAGATTGCAGAAAAAAACCTGGGACTGTTCTTAGTGTTGATGCCAGACACTCCAAGCTTGCGCAATTGGGTGAGCTTCTTGAGGTCTTCAAGCGCAACATTGACAACACCAAGTGTGTGCAACTCTGTTAGTTTCCCAATTCCTCTGGGCGCCTTGACACCGGCTAGGTGATTACGCCTGCACAACTCGTGTAAGCAGTTGGATAAAGCACATGGTGTTGATTCTGAGTAAAAGTTGGTGCCGACACGAAGGTATTGCAACTTCTGTAACTTGGTGATGCTTGCGGGCAGGGTGACTATGGAGGTGTGCCTGGCATCCAGAGTCTGGAGCTGCCTCAGGTCACCTAATGAACTTGGCAGATGACAGATCTCATGACACCCTCGTATAGAGAGGAACTTCAGGAAACGCAGCTGTTTCACCATCTTGTCGAGATCGGCATCCTTCACACCTTCTGTACTCTCAAGATCAAGCACCCGGAGAAGCTTCATACCCTTGGAGATGAAGAAAGGCTCCCACTTCCCAAACACTGTGAGTGACCATATCCGTGAGAAGTCTGCTCTCTCAAACACAATTCTGTTTCTGTACCAGGATCGCAATATGATAAGGTGACGCCCTCTGCTTTGGGTGCTTATAGCACAATCACCACTTAGTTCATACACAAAGTTCTCTTCCACCTGCGGTGAGATAATGTACTCTCGAATGAAATCATTCACAACATAATATACCTTTATATTGTTGCTGCTGGCATGCTGGCTAGGCTGGAGTATGCTCAGTTGGACGAGCTCGGAGAAGAAATTCTCTGCATTCTGCTCCATGTTTCCTTCCACAATTTGCTTCGAGTAGCCCTCTGCGATCCACCGCCTTACTAGTCTATTCTGCCGAAAGGAAATGCCTCGAGGAAATAATAGCAGGTAGAAGATACATCCCTTGAGAAATTCTGGAGGATTAAGTATGATGGAACGCATCTGACGAAATAGACCCCCTAGACAATTAAACTCTGGTTCAGACTGTAGTTGATGCATAAATCTGTGATTCAAAGAATCTGCTGCATCCTTCCATGTCTCCGCCTTTGTGACCAACAAGCCCGCTATAGCAGTTATTACTCCAGGGAAACCTCCACACTTGATAATAAGTTCTTCTAGGTCATACATATATTTGTCATTGTTCAAAGGGGACATTCGATTTTTCTTGCATACCTGTTGTTCAAAGAATTAAAGATTAACGCCAGTCAGTATGCAAACACCGTCGGATTTTGGCGTTACAGTTGCAGAATAGAACGTGAGCAGTCTACAAAAACACTGGGTACACCCACCTGTTCAAGAGAAGAACTGGGCAAAAAAAAAAGTGAAACTAGTGAGGTACTATCATATGTTTTGTTTGCCATCTACGGTGGGACAAATAAGTATATGTGCTTATAGAGGCACATTTCCCCCCTTTTAAGTCCAGAATGTCAGATCTGTCCATATTTGTTTTCTGTACGCGCACATGCTGGATATATAACATTATGTACTTTTGAAATGCAGTATGTCTTCCCGCAAAAAAAATGTAGTATGTCATCCTGGATATATAATAATATAAAATTTACATTGAGATCGACGAATTCAATATGAGCGACATATGATGTTTTGTGACCCGCCGAGTGAAGGGGGAAGTGAATAATTAATGCACGAGGTGTTAAGGTTGTGAAACATGCACTCATGACATTAGGTACCAACTAGAAACTCCCTATGAATTACTCGTAAACATACCTCCTCTTTGAAGAAATAATAGGCATCAAGAAGTTTTAAACATTGGACATTCAACATGTGCTCTTCTGTTTGTGTGCAGTATTCTGCGATGCTTGCTTCAGTTGTAATGACAATGATAACGCTTGCAGAAGCTCTTGATACCAATGCTGCTTGTATCAAATCCCATTCTTTTTTAGACCGGAGACCGTCGATGACAACGAGGCACTGATGTTGCTGCAGAAGGTGGCGACACTCCTGAAGGGGGTCTTTTTCTGAGTGAAAATCAGAAAGTAAGCTCCAAAGGAAACCCCTTAAATTGAATGGATAGGATACATCGACCCAAATGAACCTGTTAAATTGGCTGCTATAACACATTATGTCAAAATACAAGTGTCGGACAAGAGTTGATTTCCCAACGCAAGCTATTCCCCATACAGACACCACTTGGGAAGTGCTGGCATGTGCTTTAGCCAGAATTTTGCCAAGTTCATTTACATGTGATTCGCGTCCAACAAGGGGATTATAGATCATCCACTCTTCCGCTTCTTTCTTTTGGCTTACTTTATGCACCTTTGGTTCCTGTATGAATGTGGGGAGAGGTATAAACACTCAGTGCTAAGCAGGGAACTTTGAGTAATTTCTCAGTCATCTATCTACAAAGCTTGGCCTTCTGGCCTCTTTTCTAAAATATGATAAAGTATTCTTGTCCAGCAAAGTAAGAACATTTTCATGTGTTTTCTATCAAATTGACACCTATGACATAGCTAGTAGAAAACTTTGAAAAGTAAGAAGAACAAGGTTTCCTTAATGGTGTTTTAGGCTTACGTACCTTGAAGAAAGCACAAATGGAATGCTGAGGCGAGAACTGTTTCAATTCCAATATCTGGTAAGGATGGCCGATGCACAAGCTTGCTATTTCGAGTTGCTGCGTGGACACGATGACGCAGCCTCCCTCCTCCTCCCAGTGAGGAAGGAATGTGCTGATGGCATCCCACTCTACCATGTTTGAGAGGCCTTCCACGACGACGAGGTACCTCTTCTTTCTGACTAGCTGCTTGAACTCCTCGAAAAGATGTGCCTGGGTGGCATCCATCCTCGAGAGGACTCCCGTTGCAGCATTTTCTTCTTTGCAAGAGTTTGCGTAGAACTGAGCTACAAGACTCCGAACGAAGTCGTGGGGACTGAAGGGATGCACCAGCTTCACCCATGCCCGGCACGCGAAGTAGTGACAGATTTCTGGATCATTGTAGGTCTCCCTGATGATGGTTGTCGTCCCAAGATCGCCGTCTGACCCCCACACGGAGATCACCTGAAGGTGCTTGTATACTTTGTTGGCGATTATATGGCCGGCGAGATCACCTAAGTGGTCGCCCAGCCTCTTGGTGTTGTGCCCTGCGTCGGCGAGCAGCATCTCAAATGCGGCTGTGCCCTGCGTCGGGTTGGACGACCCTGTAGCAGAGTCGACGTTGATGAGGCTGTAGCGCCTGTAGCAGTTGTTGACGTCCTCCACCCTGCCCTTGAGCTTCTCTAACTCCTCTACGGCCTCGTCCAGTGTCAGCGGGGTTGCCACGCAGGATGGGAGCAACCGGCGCCAAAAGATTGGCTTGTCCTCCAGCTGAACAACATTCTCTACGCAGTCTTCCAGATCGCGAGCGAGCTGGCGAATATTGTTCGCCCAGGTCCTCACCACATTGCTCTTGATCTCCTCGTTGGTGTCCTCCAGGAAGGACTGCATCATCTCCAGCTCCAAAGTGATTGACACAAGGTCACACTTGACCTTTTGCCGCAGCCTAGTATCCTCGTCGATCGCCGACTGTACCCTGCTGATCGCCCCCACCACCACCAATTTGGACAGTCCGACCACCAGCCGGTCCGCCATTATACCTCTCTCTTCCTTCCCCTTGGGTAGGTGTTTCTTCTTTCTTGTGTGGTCGTCGGTGTAGCTAGGAATCAAGTGCTGAACTCAGAAAAAGGAGAATGATGTACTACTTGTTAGTAAGGGAATTTCATTATACCAGTGCAGCAAACTACTTCTCTAGTTTTGACTAATATACATAACAACAAATCGTATTGCGCCTAATATTGCATCAAATCTGAAATCAACAAGATAGAACTCAAAAGAACATGGCTCTCTAGTTTTGACTCATACTCCCTCCGTCCTAAAATAAGTGTCTCAACGTTGTGCTAACTTTGGAGGGAGCACATAACAACAAATCATATTACACCTAATATTGCATCACATCTGAAATCAACAAGATAGAACTCAAAAGAATATGGGGTATCTTTCCGAAGGTATATATCCCACAAAAGCTGGAGCACTGACCTGAAAGATAGGTAAAGGATGCCGCTAGCAATTAGCATCCAAGTAGAGGAGAGGCGCCAGAAGATGAGACTAGATCCACCTACCAGCAGCTGGTTGGGGTTGCACAGAAATGAAGAGAGGGGCAACGAGAGATGTTATCAGTGTGGGCAAGATTCACGGAATCTGAAACTCCAAGAAGACAAGACAAAGTTTCAGTATTACAGTACTAATTAACACGTACAACAACAAGATTCTTGAGAACAGAAAGTTAACAATGTCAGATCAGTGTGATGCACGTGACGCCGTGACGGGCAACCGATTCCGCCTAGGTAACCACGGTAGTCTCGGTCTCGGGTAGGCGAGAGCGTTTGAGTGGGTCTCAAGTAGTTAGCAAGACAAAATGTACAGACTAGATTTCACAATTAACAACTTCTAGATAAGGTGCTACATGTGATGGCTGACAGCTCCAGCTTTGTTAATTTGCTGCGTGTTTAGCAAACCCTTCCCGTACGTAGGATTTTTTTTTCCAACAAAAACCCTCTTGGTATGAGTATGTGCAAGATCCACGGAGTTCCTCAAAAAAAAAAAAAGAGAGACGTTATGAGTATGTGCAAGATTCACGGAGTCTCAAACTCCAAGCAGATAAGACAAGGTTTCAGTATTACAGTACTAATCAACATGTAGAACGACAAGATTCTCGAGAAAAGGAACTTAACAATGTCAGATCAATGTGATGCATGCGATGGGCGACAGATCCCGCCTTGGTAATCACGATAGTCTCGGTCTTGGTAGGCGAGAGCATTCGAGCGTGTCTCGAGTAATTAACAAGACCAAGTGTACAGACTAGACTTCGAAATTAACAACTTCTAGATAAGAAGCTGCAGGAGGAGATGCGACAAGCAAGCTACGTCAAGTCTATCAAACTTCTAGGTCGTCGAACGAGGCTTAGGAAAGCTCTATCATTTTGGGTTTCGTTGTGAGCCTGCGTGGTCTTACGGGGGTATGATGCCCATGTTTAACTGTTGCTCTAGAGCTTTTATCTTGGCAGTTTACTTTTAACTCGTTATTGGATGAGAAAGGTGTGGCTACTCTCGAGTGTACCACACCCGAGATAGCAAAAAACCGGAAAAACAGTATGGAACAAGGTCCAAAAAATCTAAAATTTTGTGACATCAAACTATATTATATGTTTAAGGTTCTTGCAAAATTTCATCCAAAACTAACATCCGAGGAGCTCTCATTAAAAAGAACAAAATCGCTGCAAAACATTGAGGAGTGATTTTGTTCTTTTTGGTGAGAGCTCCTCCGAGGTTAGTTTTGAATCAAATTATGCAAGAAGCTTGAACATATGATAAAGTTTGATGTTGCCAAATTTCAGATTTTTTTTTGGATCTGGTTTGATACCGTTTTTCATTTTTTTTGCTAACTCGGGTGTAGTACACCTGAGAGTAGAAAATCCAGTCTCTTATTGGATGTTGCCGGCATATTTTCTTCCTTAATGATTACCAAGACAGATCCTTAATCCTAAACATATATAAATTAGCAAAATTGGAGCTACGGTTTATCTTCTATGATTTTTTTGAAGTTCAAAGCATTTTCTAAAGTCCTCAGTTTTAAACATCATTTAGCTGTTTTCTAGAGGCTATAACTAGTGTTCTATTCATCCTATGAATTGGTGCCTTATACCAGTATTGAACACTTTCCTACGGTCTACAAGATGGTTTCAATTACATCTCAGTTAGATCCCTGTAACTTGCTTATTTTCTTCTCCAAAGTTGCAATGGCAGTATAATTGTTTCTAGTTCTTCCAGTTAACAGAAGATAGACTTTTGCCATTTTCATAGGAATTAATCCAGCCAACTTTTGGATTTGGTCCAATGGAAAGAATTGAACCCTGTCAAGTGTACTGCCCGCACATATTTATTTTAGCTATGTTATGCCTTGTTTAGCTGCTGTTTTGAGGCTGTTTAGAGGGCCAGTCAGCGTAATAGTCATAAAGCTAGCTAGCACTACAGTAACATACAGTTAGGGTAGCAGCAGCAGCACGGCAAGCAGCAGAGCAAGCAGCGCTGCGGCACCACAGCAGCAGCTAGCGGAGCAGAGAGCAGCGGCAGCCGGAGGCGGGCGAGGCCAGAGGCGGATGCGGCCGGAGGTGGGCACGGCCACACTCAACACACACACACTGCACACACACCACACACACACTGCACGCACGCACAACACACACAGGCGCACCCGGGCGCCGTCGGCCATGGCCGATGCCATGGGCGCGGCTGGCGAGGCTCGCGCAGGTGGGGGGTACGGCAGCAGTAGTGGGTCAGCACGGCGGAGGCGGCGGCGGCCGGGCGCGGGGCACGGCGGGAGCAACCGCGGGGCGCGAAGAGGCGAGACGAGTGCTAGAGGGCGCGGGCCGATGCGGTTACCGCGGGCAACGGTCGGAGTTTCGGCGGCGACTAACGGCGTCGGGGAGAGGGGGAGAAAGGGCGACGGGCGGAGGCTCACCCTGGGGAGGCTGTGGTCGAGTTCGGCGAGGCCGGGAGTCTCTGGCGAGGAGATCCGGCGTGGTAGTGGTGGCGGCCGACGAAGAAGATGGGGTGAGGAGCCCGGTGCGGAGGCGATGAGCTCCAACGGGTGGGCGTAGGCGCTGCGGTGGACAACGGAGGAGCTGCGGGACGCCTCAGCTCGTCTCGGGGGCGACGGCGGCGTCTGGACCGTCCAGATCGAGGGGAGGGACCGAGGGAACGAGGGAGAGGGCGAATGGGGTGCTAGGGTTCACCGACGGGCTGTGGGGAGGCCTTGTAGTCGTCGAGGATGCGAGGGATGGCCGCCACGACGGCATCGGGCACGTCGACGGGCGAGCAGAGGCCACGGCCCTGGTGGAAAGGCCCTGGTGGGCTGGGCCTCGCTCTGTAGCGCGTGAGCTACTATTGCATAGCAGGCCTTAGCCTTTCCTCTTTTTATCTTTTTGTTACGTATTGTCTTTACTGTTTTGTAATTAAGTCCAATACCAGATGATTTTTGTTGAATGTGAGACTTGCCACAAAAATGCCTTTTATTATTATGGGGCTGCACAAACATTTTCAATTTATTATGAAAACTTTAAACATTTGTTTATTTCGAAAAGACCAAAATATTTATTGTAGGACCACTTACTATTTTTCTAGGAATTTATTTGTGAGTCCACTGAAGTTGGTGTCAACATGACAATGATCACGAGAAATTATAGAATTATTTCGAACATTTAAGTTTTACCGTTCCAGAAATTTGAATTTTGACTTTAATTTGAAATTGAAATTTGAACCGGTTTGTAACAATGTGGGATTTAGCAACAATAAATGTGATGACATGGCACCATTAACAGGGGATTACTGTAGCTTAATTATCCGGGCGTCACAAACATGTCTTAGAAAAATGTTGTTCACATATAGACAAAATATGGAATGAAAACAAGAGGAACAGAAAAACCAAAAAAGGAAACAAAATAAAACAAAAAATCAAAAAGAAAACAGAAGAAAAAAGTAGAAAGAATACAAACACAAAAAAATAGAGAAGAGAAAAGCAAATAAACAAAAGAAAATGAAAAAAGCATTGAAACGAAGAAATAAATGAAAGAAGAATGAGAAAAACAAAAAAGATGGAGAAGGAAAAAAAGAAAACAAAAAATCCAAAGAAAAGAGAATAAAACATTAGAAAATGAGGAAAGAAAGGAAAGAAAAAAACAACAAACCAGTGTAAAACCAACCCTTTATTTTTCTAGTACCAGGTTCATCATGATCTCTACAGTTGCAGAGTGCTTAAGCACATAATTAATATCATCGAGGATGGTTAGCACGAGGTCTATAACCGTCAACACGCGATCTCGCATGTCAAAACCGTAATGGCTCGACGCTTTCACCACGGACAGGGCAGTACAACTGTAAAATGCATGGTATGATCTTCCAATTAGACTTGTAGCATATATGATGAAGACATGGAGACATTCAATTTTTTCTTCATTTTTTTGCAGTCAAGTTAAGTAGCTCACCATGGGAGTAGGCGCAAAGTTATACTGTGCATAGTCCAGGAGTAGTGCTACGTAAGCAGGTTCAGGCGGGGCTGGATGATTGATAGAAAAATGTAGCTGCAAGATAAATCAGGCAAGTGGAAACACGCCAGTAACATACGCCAATAGATATATCTCAAGGTCCCACTGAACACAATTATTCGTTTTTGTAGCTTACCCAGACTTATGAGGAAAACAGGCGCCTCCATGCAGGCATGTTCAAGCCTCCCAGCAAGATCTGAGCCTTTTCGTTAAATAAAACGGACTTAGTGCGTAACCAGAACCTTTGTTTTCCTTTTGTGAACTCTTTGGTTTCATATATAAATGTGGAACCGGGAGGGCTTTGCCCCCTCCTGTTGCTCTAAAAAAATAAATAAAACTGACGTATGCTTCCATTGTTGGAGGCATGGCCTCTATTTAATGGCGGAACCAGTCCTTGATCATCGCACCAGTCATCTGTATCAACCATGGGACAGCGTGGCGGAACCAGAACCTGGACAAATGACCAAAGCACAAGTCAACACAGCAGCCTGCA